TCGCCGTCGGAAAGGTGATGCGTTCGCACCGCCGCGCGGGACACCGATAAGTAATCGGCGCAGCGTTCGCACTGGCACCCGCGGGCCGATAAGGATTTCTTTAATCTGCGCGACGTTCGCACATAAATACCGATTACTCATAAGCATTCGGCATTGCGTTCGCACCCGCGCCGATAAGACCTCGACTTTAAGATTTCTAATCGGCCGATAAGGAATTGCCCCAAATTGCCCCAGGAACCTAAAGTGCCCCCCCCCCCTACTTTTAGCTCCGTTTTCAGTACTTTTCAGTACATTGTGTACTTGATTTGGAGTGTGAGCAATTTTGTCGACGGTGCGTGGCTAATTTCGAAATTTTATTGTCGAAATCCCGATTGGGAGGCTTATAGGATTCCTATCGGATCGGCGTAACTTTCCGATAAGCAAAGCACCGATGAGGAGTTATCGGAAAGTTACCCGAGTCTTGCGCCGATCCGTTAAGGTTATCGGAAAGGTAAAGTTATAACTTTCCGATAAGGGCCAGAATTCCTTATCGGATCGGCGTGACTTTCCGATAAGCAAGATACCGATAAGGACTTATCGGAAAGTTAAACTTTACCTTTCCGATAAGAAGCTTATCGGAAATTTAAATGCTGCGGGTGCGAATCGCCCCTAAGCTTCAGATGCGCGGGGCCGGTACAAAACAAGCCTCCTCGAAGGCTTTGCACGTACCGACATGCATGCAACACTCAATTGGCTTGCCAGATCATTGTTCCTGCGTAAGTGCCGATTGTTCCGCTCCGGCCGGCCAGTGCTCAAATGTATATGGATACTTCTTTGTATGATGCCCTCGCACATGCAGGCATGGGGCCGATAGGGCCGGCCGGCAAGGCCAGTGCCCCCAAGAGACAAAAGTTTAGTATCGTTGTGCCAAACTTGAAAAGAATGCATAATAAAGTCACCATGCATGACGGGTCTGCATGCATGCAAAGTCGTTGATCGATGATCAGCCCGCCGCAGCAATGAACGGACCGAGTTTCTGGTACACGTGCAACTTCTGGCTGCGCACGGGCAAAGTCTTCCTTGGGTGGGTTATCGTTAGAAAGCGACGAGTCGATGCACTCTCGCGAGCCTGTGAGCCTTCACAACCAGTTTCGTGTCATCACATTTTTGCAGTTGCGGGCGTGAAGTAGACTAAAAGTACTCCGTATAGGTTCTACAGATTTGCTATCTTGCTTTGAACGTGCGCAAGCGCCGTTTTGCTCGCAGTAGAAGCTGTGTCCAAGCTCCTTTCAACAGACCCACTTCCGGTTTGGTCTAGACGGCTCAATACGAGTTCCTGCAACATTGGCGGCAAAAACAAATCAGCAAGTAAAGAAGCATTTCTACTCGCAAATTAGCACCTTAAGACTCCCAGCGACGCCCGTCCCGTGCTGACTGTAACGTGCGGCTCGCTCTAAGAAGATGATGCAGCTCGCTACGAGTATCTCTACCCTTGAGGCTTCCAACGACATTACACTGGGAGTCCGCTTTATGCCAACTAAAATTGAATCACACCTACTTCGTTCATCAAAGTTGCAGGTGATGCATTAAGCTGGCAAGGACGGTCAACTACGGCAGACAATACGGCAGACCTCTAAGAATGCGTGGCGACAGGGAATCTGATCCTTCATTTCCACTGGCCAGCGATTCGTCTCCACTCCAGCACTCATCGAATCTTTGTTTGCCTGAATAAGGAAGGGAAAAACTATTGCATTATTGCTCCTACCTGCACTCTCAGCTGTAGCGCATCCCTCAGCTCCAAGAGCCCCTCCTTGCTGCTTGGAAGGGGGTCTCGTGCGGGGTCCCACCCCCAACTTTGCCGGCCGTTGCACGGTGTGAAAAAGCCGTCCCCATCTTCTCCCCCATCCCCTGCCCCCCTACTGGAAACATCAGTACTGTCGTCTCCCCCCGGAGAAATGTCCCGGGCGTCGGGAGTGTAGAAACGGTCCTCTTCTGGCTCCCCCGTCTCCCCCTCCGACCAACCGTCTCTTATCGTTTGACGCCTCCCCTCAACTCGCATCATTCCGGGCTCCCGTAAACAGTCCGCCGGACTTCGCAGGCCGGAACGTCGGCCGTTTTCGTAGCGAGATGTCGTTCCCGGGGGTTTGAATTGGTAGTCGGGGGGCGTTAAACACAGGGCGTGAGGCTTGCACCTTCCCTCGGGTTGCACGTAGTTCTCGCCCGGCTTTTGAGGTTCAAACTTTGAGCCCCTTGCTTCGCCGCAGATGCCGCTCCTCGGGCGCTCCGCCGCCGCTCTTTCCGGCCGGTCCGTTTCGGCTCGAGGAGCGGATGCTTTCTTTCTTTCCGCTCCATTAGGTTCAGGCCTTCCGCCGCAGTCTTTCTCGGGATGCAGGTTCCTGAAACTATCTCTTGGCGACACCTCTTGCCTCGCCGCCTGCTCCAAGGTCGCCGCCCTGTCCAAGAGCGCTCGAGGCATCTGAGGCGTCTCACTTTCACACTTTCCAAACCCTTCCCTATCGAATATTCCATTCCGTTCCGGTTCTAATCCGTTCAAACCCTTTTCCGTAGCATCGCTCAGATACCTTGTCGCGGAATAAAACCGTGGTTTCTCTGCACAAGTCTGCCCGGCTGTGCTCTTCTCTTCGCTCTGACGTCGTCCCTTTGGCTGGGCGTCCAACCTTTCCGGCCTCGATTCGGCTCGCCGGTTCCGCTCCCTCCTTTCCGCTCGGTCAGAGGGGAACAGGTTCACCCGGACGGCATCCAAGGCAGGCGCCCCAAGGTCCAGGAAAGAGGGCGACTCAGAAACGGGGTTGCCGCGCGGCCGCGTCGCCCCACCCGTTCCGCTCGGCTGCAAAACACCGTTCCGCCGCGTTCCGCTCACTTCGACTGGGCTTAAATCTGGCAACACAACCGGCGTTCTTCCGTTGCTCGGCAGGATGCCGACCGGAGTCTCTTCGTCGTCGATCACAACCGCTGATTCCGTTGCTCTTCTGCTTTCCGTTGAGCGGAAGCCCCTCGCCGGTCCGGTCTGTGCAGCGATCCCAGCGGAAGCAACGGAAGTATTAACGGCGGAAAGAGGTTCCACTGCTCCTCGGTTGACTGCCCGTTCGTCGACGGTCTGAGTCGCGACGCTGCGTGCTGCCTCTTTCCGCTGCCGGAGGATCCGCTGGAGTTCCGCCTGGAGTCGACGAATTTTCGTCTCCTTCTCCTCGGCTGTTTGCTCTAATCTGGACAGACAAGTGGAAGGCGCGTGTCAGGGTTCGATATGCGGGTGGCACTCAGCTTGAATGCACAGACTTCCATCGGAAAGGGAACAGATCACCGCCATTAGCTAGATCAGCTGACCTTGGAAGCAAGCAGACTTCATAATCGACATACAGCGCGGCCAGACACTGGCGGAAACGACAGTGAAACCTATCCTTCGACGAGTGTTTCCGGCAATCGCATTTGCGACTTCGATCATAAAGAACGATCTCGCTCATTTTCGGGAATTAGAAATTGGAAATTCCCTGTTATGCTAGACGCTTTATAGAAAGCATGTAGATGAAATCTGACCAGGGCGCTAAGTTATCAGATGGAGAGGTCAAGTGTAGAATCAGCTGCTTTTGTGACGCTTGTCCAGGTCGTATAAGTTTTTATTAGCCTTTTTCTACGAATCCAACTTTGGTCGGAATAATAGAAAAGTGGGAAACCGTGCGTTTCCATCTCAAACGGAGCTCTGAGCTCAAGCAGAGGCCCTTGCGCAGCCAATCATCAAGTGGAGACGGCGTGTCCAAAGGTATTGGCAGACTCATACGAGGAGAAAGAAGATTATGCCAAAATCATTCGACTTACTTTTGAAGCGCGTCGCGCTTGGCCGCCCACCTCGCGGCCGCGGCGCCCGCGCTCCGCTCCCTCCGCGCTACGTCGCGCTCTTTCCGCTCGACCTCTCGCTCGTTCCGTTCCGCCTCACGCGCTTTTCGCTCGGCATCGCGCTCTTTCCGCTCCAATCTTTCCTTCGCATCTTCAACCTCAACCTCCAAGCCTCTCATCTTCTTTTCCATCCGATCCCTTTCCTCGCGCAGTTCGCGATCTCTCACCTCCAAACTCTCTTCTTTCGCGCGGTGCTCCGATGCGCGCGCGCACTGGCAGTCCTCCCGACCGGCGCGCTCGCGCGCGCGCATGCGCTCGTCCACCAGCGCCCGCGCCTTCTTCTCAAGCTCAGCTTCTCCTTCCGCCAAAGCCCTCTCAGTATTTCCTTTCTGCACGCACAACTCGTCTTTCTCTTTCTCGAGACCCTGCTTCAGTTTCCCCAACTCTGATTCTCTCTCCCTCAACTTCGCTTCAGAGTCCCTCATAGCTTTCTCGTCACTTTCCAGCTTCCTTCTCCGTTCCTCCAAGCTGTACCCCCCTGCTGCCACCTTTCCGCTCCGGTCTTGCAATTCCGCTTCCCGCCTGGCCAGATTCCGCTCCCTCGCGTCCATGGACTGCTCGGCGCCTCTGAGCGCGTCCTCCGCGGCCGCCCTGTCGCGCTCGAAGGCCGCCTGCGCGGCCGCGTGCGCGGTTGATGCGGCTTCGAAGTCCGAGCGTAGCTTCCCTGAAGTCGTTTCTCTGGATTGAAAACAAATGTAGTCTTTGTGCCCTTTCATTTGCAGCAAATGTCCAAGGTTGCGGTTCGGCGCACCAGCTTCTCGTAAGTAGAAGCCTGCTTAGACTCCTCCAAGTTCTGCGACTTTGAGAACGATGACCATGTGATCTCAACACGATCCATTTTATTGCTGATTCGGGTCTCGCACGGGAACGTCGACTGAAGAGCATCAACTTCGACATCGGCTAGATTCAGGTACCAGAAGAAGAGACCTCCAGGTGAATGCCATCTCAGAACGGCGGAAACTGGATAGCAACTTGATACGGAGCCTCGTTCTCACTTTATTAGGAAAACCTGAGAATGCAAGGCTTGAAAAGATTAGGTAGCAGATTTTCGGGTCTCACCGCTCCTTCATTCCCTCTTCCCATTCTGTCTCTCGCTGTTCAAACGCCCGGACCCGTACTGAGACGTCTTCTTCCTGCTTTTCCAGCTTCTCGATGCGCCTTCTGGCGTCCTGACGCAGAGAGACCCGGTTTTCATTTTTGAGCTTCTGAGACGTTTTCAAGGCCTCCGGATGTACTTTAAGATGGGCTCTAGTATGAATTTTGAACCTGTCAGCACTTGGAATTCTGCAAGCCCTCCCCAGCAATCAATTTGATGAGGTAAGGTTGCCGTTAAAAACGTCAACGTTTCTGAGAACTCAAAGCTTGATTGTGCTTCGAAAATCAAAGAGGCTGCCTGTGAATACCATGCGCGGCCATGCTAAACGCGCATAACGGCTTGAACCACTTGAACCAGGCTTGATAAGGTCGAAACGGCCCCCTCTTTTGCATCATCTGTAGAAGTAGTGAGGCGCCCTAACCTTATATTCTGAAAAGAGAGTCCTAAAGTGGGGATGACAGACTTGAAAGAACCAAACGACGTCCACAATATCCACGCGAGACTTTTCAGCCAGTGCTGAATCTCTTCATTCAAAATAATAAACGATTGATCACCGCTTCCCTCCGATCCAAGCTCTCCGACCTTTGGTCCAGCTCTTTGGCACGCTCGCGAGCGCGCGCGCTCTCCTCCTCAAGCTTCTTGCTCTCCGCTTCGACGTGCACCGCCCATCTGCAAGAACAGAAACGTAGACGCACTAAAACCTTGTATACGCAGTACCACATAGAGGCCTTTGTTGGATATTGGCTTGAATCTATGAAAGAAATGAACGGAAGTCCGGAAGAAGCACGTATCTCCAATGTCTGATTTGCATCACTTGAAGAACAAGACACGAATTCTGGTGCCCTCTTTTAAGCCCTTCTTGAACCTAAGAGGTGGAAGCGACGGGCCTGGCAATCAAGTAAAGGATTGAAAATGTCAGAACGGCAAAGCAGAGGATCGAAGCATCATGTTATCATCGTGTCTGCCATGTCACGTGTCCGAAGTGCTCTTGTTTCATAAACGAACTTACAAGATTCTGTTGGAAAGTTGATGAAGCTGTCTCAAGCAACGCCTGTGTACGAAGATTCATGTGGGGGCTTCAAAACTCAATAGGAACTGATACCAGAGCTCACACGATGCATCGCCTCCACTCCTCCTCCAGTGCGCCCGCCGAAGTCTCGCTCTCATCCTTGACCTTGAAAAGCTCATTCCGTTCTCGTTCGAGATCAGCCCTCACCGTAACAAGCGTGTGTTTCTCTGTACTCGAGGAAATAGACAAGAACGTTCAAGTCGGTAAAAGAAGTTGTGGCCAGAAGATAGTCAACGGCGGTGCTTCTTCTTGACCATCCACTTCGAAGCGTACTGACACACCTTCCGCAACCAAGTCAAGCTTCTGATTTGGCTCTGCTGCTCTCTGTCGCTTTGCTTCATAGATAATGTTAATAGTAAGGTCACATCTAAGTTTAAAGCACGGAACTGTCTTCGATTGCACAGCCTTGAAGTCGTCTCATATATTTTCTTTGAGGAACGTACAGAAGTACTTCAGCCAGGGAAAATATGAGCAGCTAGTTTGTGACGTACCTTCGTCCACTCTCTTCTCTTCAGCATCGTTCGCTCGCTCCCTAATGGAGACGGACACCTCTCTTTCCTTCAGTTCGTTCTCCAGCGCATGTATCCTGCTTTCCTCCTCAGCTCGCCTCGTGTCCAATCTGCTCTTTTCTTTGGCCAACTCCTGCGCAGCAGATTCTCTCGCTCTCACTAGTTCCGCTTCTGCAGCCTTCTTCTCAGCTTTCAACGCAGCCTCGCAGGCTTCTTTCGCTGCTTGGATCTCTCTTCCTAGCCGCTCTTTCTCTTCTACTTGCTTCCTCTCCCATTCTAGTTTGTTGTCCTCGAAGCTCCTCCTGTCGGCGGCTACCTTCTCCTTCTCAGAGGCTGCTTCTCTTTCACGCTCCTCTAGTTCCTCAGCACGCTTAGCAACAATCGCTCTTGCTTTTGAAGTCTGCTCACTAAGCGTCAACAAAGCGGCTCTTTCCTCTTCCAACCATCTTCTCTCTGTTTCGAACTTCTCTTTTTGCTTTCGAGTGTTTTCAACTAGATCCGCTTTCTGACGGATCTGCTCCTTTTGCTCCTTCCTCAGATTCAGCTCCAAAGCCCGCAAGTCTTCCTTACGTTTGGAGTCTTCGAGCATTCTCTCTTCTTCTTTGACACCTGCTTCAATTTCATGCTCTCTGACCCGTCTCTCTTTCTCTGTGAGACATGCCTCTCTCTCAGCAAGCTTGGCTTCCTTAAGGGCAAAGTCGGTTTCCGCTTCTTGCTTCGACCGCAAAACAACCTCCTGAAAAGCAAAGCAAGGGTAGAATCTTATTTATTTCGAAGTCTACCAAAGCCAGCATCGAGGATCAGCAGTCGGATAGCTTTTATTTTGGAAACATCAGAAATCTAGCTTCGAGCACGACATATGATTGCACCTGAAATGGAAGGGGTGTTTCTTAACCCAAGGATCGTAAGCCTTATGGCTCCAGCTTCCGTTTTTAGGGTTCGTCTCTTACGCATTCAGATTACGGATTTAAGTGCCTGCAGGGTCTTCTGGTCAATGGCGTGGATTACTACCCTCTGCTAGACTGACAAAGGACTCGAAGTAGCTTCGTTGCGTCCTGACCCTAAACGTACGAAGAGCAGAGCGAAAGTACAATTACCTGCATGCGCAACGCCTCCTGTCTCTCCTTCTGCAACTTCAACTCTTCCTTCTGCAACTCTTCTTGTAGCGCTTTCTGTCTGGCTTCCACCTCCTGACAGGACGCCCGCAGCTTTTCCAACTCTGTCTCTTGCTTTTCCAGAATCATACCTCTTTCCTCCATCCACTCTGCCGCCTTCTTTAACCTCTCAATATGTGCTTGAAGTTCAAGAGCTGCCCGACCTGCAGCACTTCGAGCCTCGTCTAGAATGCCCTGCACGTTCAAATCTATATCTGGCGCCATGCTTGGTCCTGATCTCGCTTAATCAATCAAACATTAAGAAAAGCATCGATTGCAGACCGCATGGTGCTGCAGCTCACAAATGAGCACGACTTTTACACTGGTCGTTCAAATTGAATATCTGGCGTCATGCTTGGTCCTATTCTTGCTTAGTCAATCAAAATTAAAAGAGCATCAATTCCAGACCGCGCGGTGCTCCAGCTCACACATGCGCACGCCTTTTACACTGGTTTTTCACCACTTCACGCTCCGCCCGAGGCGATGAGGCTGTAAGTTTCGGTGCACATGCACATGCTGCCATCCACATTTGGCTGAAATACGCTTAGCTGCGAAGTGCTTCCTTTGCTTCGACCAGCCCCTGAGCAGCTTGGGTTCGCCTGTAGCTCTTGCTTGCATCTGGAGAGTTATACTTCGATGTAGCATCAGATTAAATTGATCTGAAAAGGACACTCAGTGACACTGACAAATTGAAGCAGTGAGTTCTGGTGAGCCTGCAGTAATAATCTGCAGATTATAAAACTCGACTGCTTTGATGATGTTTCCGGCCTACTAAATAGCTGGCCTGCGGCAGCCCTACGCAGCGCGCGGCCCCGCCAAAACTAGCCGTCGCGCGGCATGCAACAGTAGCTACCAACGCGGGCATGTCAGCTAGCTGAACATATGCACATTCTGCATGTGGCACATGTATGAGTTGTGATATAATCAAGTCGAACCTATTTATAATTAGTGCATGCCCGACTGGCATGCTCTTCAACGCGGCAGGCTGGCATACTGCAGGTTGAAATCAGGATCTATGTCTTGAATGAAGCGCGGCGCGCTAGAGATGAAATTATCAGATCGAGAATATATTGCGAATTTCCGATGGCACTGGGATATGAATGGGGCGTGACACGTCGTTCCATAAGTTTCGCCGCGGCCCGGCCGCACGGCAGCTGCGCACATTTCCCTATCGTGGAGCTAGGAATCACGAACTTGATTAATCATGCAACGGAATTGTACTCTCAAGGGCATGCATCTGTCAGAGCTTGCTACCTGCCCAATCGTGAGGCAACCGACTCGACAGTACCGCAGCATGCAAGCCTGGCCTTTCCAGCGGTTGCTCATTTCGCGAATTGATCCCATTCGTGCAATGAGCCTCATCACGAAAATATGATCCATTCCAAAATGGCTATGAAAGCGTTCTCATTCCACAGAATGGTTCAAGAAAGAACAACTTCCAACCACCCCTCGACCAGTCGACTCCAGCGAGAGCTGAATAAGGGACTCCGGAAGCATTTGCAATTCGCCTTATGCCGTTCGACATGCCTGTTTCTACAATCAAAGAGCCTGTATAGCCCAAAAATTTTCCTGTCGCCTAAGTTCCTGAATGACCTTCAGCTCAACATAAGCTGCCTTCTGTTGGCAACAACTAATTCAAGCCGTCACATGCATGCTACTATACAATCGCCACACTACGCCTCACTTTTTCGGGTCCCCATCCGATGGTCGAGTTTTCGAGTTTGGCGGTTGCGCAAACGAGCCCCGCCGGCTGCTCTCTGCGCTCGGGGTTTCGTCAAGCAACCACTTGTTTTTGTGAAGAGCGTCAGGCGCGAGATCCTCATCTCGGATGCCCAAAAGGCCGGATGACCTTCTGCTGTCTCCGGATACTACAGACGTCCGACGGCTCTCCCCTGCTCGTAAATGCATCTCCTCCTGCGGGCAGAGAGCAATCGGATTTAGTGGGGGTTTGCCTGAAGTGGCAGGCAATAGTTGATAGACGAGGAAAGCAACTCCTTGCTGATGACATACCGCCCAGAACTTCCTCAGCACAGCCTACGGATCTGACCAAAAGTGCTTTCTCAACACATCCTAAGGTGCCCACATTGCCACGTGTGTCATGAACAAATAGACACCCACCTGAGGACAATCCCTACCGCATATGAAACTGCTAAGTGCACGAAAGTAAGAGAAAGATCACAACTCTGCCCTCATCCCTCATCCTTCAAGCTCGTTGCAGTCCAAATCAGCAGGCCCTGATAAAAGGGTCATGTTGTTGTCAGCAACAACGGCAATCTGCAGAAGGGGGGGGGAGAAGTGGGCGCTAACCTGCCCCCCCTCCTCATCCACAGTGCTCATCGCACTCGAGCGTCGCGCCTGCCAGCTGGGGTCCCCCTTGCTCGAGTCCGGCGCCTTGTTCAGCCCAATTTCCATATCGTCCGTCTCCAAAACGATTGGTGCTGGTGCATCTAACAAGTTGTCCGGCGCGTCAGCGACTTTGGCCCCCGCCCGTACCTTTTCAGGGCTCGACCCCCCCGACCCTGAGGAGTAATCAGGCGAGAAACCTGACACGTGTCAGAACGGGAGCAGAGTCAGGGCCGTCGCCAAGCAATCTCTCTTAGATAAAACGAAGCCTTGTAGTATGAGCAGAGTCGATAGGGGAATGTATCAATCGCATTTGCATCAGGTAGCCAGAACGATTCAGGAAGATTCCCTTTGATGCCCTTCCCCAGAATACACAAATTCTGCACAGGCTAGTCTGATTTGCCCAGTAATACCAACGAAACAAGAAGTACGATAGCAAGCACCGAGCGGAAGCATCATCGTCTTATCAGCAGAGCCATCACTTCGGCTTCTTAGAGAGCATGCCTGCTCCTTTTTGAAAGGAAAACGCCCCAAAGAGCGGTATCAAGGGAGAAACGACGCCCTCACTGCCGCGGTTTGCTCGTCTCAAAGTTAGAGAAGCGGTATCGATTAAGCAACGAAGCACTCAGGGCTGCGGTATGCCAGCGCCGACTTTAGAGAGCGGTACCAAACAAGCAGCAGACCACTCTCTGCTGCGGTATGCTCGTCTCAACCCTAAAAAGCTCAGAAAGCGCTACAACATACACCTTGAAGCACTTAATTCCGCAATCTCCTCTCTCCGACTTAGAGAACGGGATCAGCTAAACGACAAAGGACTCACTCCCGCGGTCCGCTCGTTCGAGGCCCGACGACCAGCCGCTGTCCTTGCCCCCCTTGCGCAGGTCGGACATTTCGTGCCCGGTTGGAACGAAAGTCCTTGTCCGGTACCGCCGAGGCGCCGCGGCAGTGCCGTCGCTATACAGGATGTAGTCATGGTACGTGGGGGCGAAGTTGTGCAGAGTGTCGGACGCCTGCGCACAGGAGAATGATGTGCTTCAGAATGATGAAATTTGGAACTTCGGTTTATTTGAATGATTGAGGCAATTCTTCAAGGGGGATTGTGGTGAGAATGCAGTCGTGACATGGAGGGGGCGAGCTTGTGGAGTGTCAGACGCCTGCATACGGAGAATGATGCGTTACAGAATGATTCGGAACTTGAAAAGGTTCGAACACCTCTGACGATCAGATCTTCAACGGGGATTGTAGTCAGAATGTAGTCGTGACATGGTGGGGGCGAAGTTGTGCAGAGTGAGACGCCTGCACAGAGGAGAATAATGTGTTTCAAAATGATGGAAATGTTGAACTTGGAAGCTTTCGAACGTCTCTGACAGTCAAACCTTTAATGGGGAATGTAGTCAGACTGTAGTCGTGGTACGTGGGGGCAAGGCAAAGCTGTGCAGAGTGTCAGACGCCTGCACACACAACGTAAATACGACTTGATTGAGTCTAAGCTCAAAAAGTGTGTCATAAGGATAAACGACCAATTTTCGCAAAAAACCCGATTTCGGACGGGGAAGCCTCGATCGAATGTCGGACCAATTCTTCAATCTGTGTTGCATGCCGGACGGAACATGACGCCTTGATCCGGCAGTGCCGTAACGGTGCTGACGTCAGCGGAACCTCTAAAGATTCACATTCTCGACTCAATCCAGTCTGTCCAAAGAGATTTGGAGCGCGCAAGTCCGAAAACAGATTTCTCCGAAACTCCGTAGTTCACCCGCATCTGTCGACCGCATCTTTGACTAGAACGATCGCCCTGCAAGAGGTGCTCAGAAAAAGATTCTTCCCTCGTTGCCGTTGGACATGGAACAATCGGGAAGCTTGGTCCGCTGAACACGTTGCAACGGATGGAAGCTTGTCAGAGGCTCCGTCTGACCTGGCCTCAAAAGACGAACCGCAGTAGTCGTGACCACCGTTTGTTTGAGAACCTGTGGGATTGCCTACTCACCACATCGTTGATCGCAATAGCGTGAGTGATGCTGCCCCCCAGGCCTCCCGCCACGCCCGGCGCGTTGGCAAAGTCGGAGTGCGGAAAGGCCCACCTATGGCCAACGGCTGCGATCGCCATCTCGACGCAGAGCAGGAAGTTTTGCAGGTCGGCGGCGGTGGCGGGGTTCGTGATAAGACCCGCCTTAGCGAACAGGAAGACTAAGACGCCCTGCAAGAAAGATGTTCGGAAAATCAAGCCGAGCGACTTCGACCCTTTGAATAAATCGAGTTTTCCATGAAAACCTGGGCCTGTTAGGGGTTTTGAGAGTACTTCCGAAGATAAGATCTCATGGGTTCGCATTTGCAAACAACTGGTGCAAAAGCAAAGAACGAACAGAGTAGAGCCTTACTGACAATGCGACAAGACGACATGCAAGCGAATCTGCCTCGCGCTAGTTCATGAGAAAGCATCCACTTTTCTTAACACCTGGCAAAACGGTACATCGTCTCCAACATCACGAGTAGCCCAGCAGTCCCGACAACCGCCCCTGCGCAGGCCACCTGCCTGACTCCCCTGAACGGAGGAATGTTCAAACCCTTTCAAGCCTGATCTTGGCATCGCTTACCTGCCAGTAGGTTGCGAACACGACAGACTTGATGACGATGAATTTGGGCAGCGGCTTGTATGGCCGGAGCAGGTCCTCGCAGGCGAAGTAGAACAGCAGCAGCACGTACAGCGCCAGAGAGTAGCTGTCGAAATGGAAGGCCACGTATCAGGGGATTCCATCCGACATTCCATCCGACAAAAAAGTCACTCCCCTTGCAGGAGTGACGGCAACTCAAGAGATTAGGACGGGTACATCGCCGGGTAGTTGCCGAACGATGATGGGTACAAAAAGCCTTTTCCTTGGCAGAAACGAGCATTCCCTGACCAACCGCCATGCTCGCTAGGACTTGCGGCGAATCAGGTCCAAATGCGAACGGCTAACGAAAGCTTGATCCTAATTCCAAACTTTACGGACGCAATCTGTATTCGGAATCGCATCGGCTCAATCGATGCCGTCTGCAGATGAACCAACCGGCACAAAGCCATTCTCTCGGACAATCCTAAGGTCGCCCTCTTGCGCCTTTTGCACTTGCAGATCAATCTCAATCCTGCATATGCTATTGCTGAGCCCTTCCAATACACATAATACACACTGCGTTTGGAAGTTGTGATTGACGCTGGTTGGGCATCCCCGAACGAGTACAATCCTTTATACGACTTACCATAGCCCCTCAATCGTCTGGAGTAAAGAGGCACAATACTGGATGAACGTGAATCTGATCAAGTCGGGATTGAGAACCGATAATCCACTCTCATGCTGGCTGTAAACTGACAAGTACTCAACCCCATGGCGAATATCTATGCGGCACGGCTGTCTGGTGTACGACTGCAATTGTGCTACCCAGTCACTTTGAGTTGCTAAACAAAACCCCCGATATTTAATCATCAAAAACATTTTTTTCTCCTAACTCTCTCAGTCTCGGATTCAACTCCGGCAGTGGTCGTTTGTGCAGCCGGAGCTTTTCTAAAACTCGTCCAAGAAACCTTCGAGACCGCACCTGATGGTGTAGATGAAAGTAAGGTAGAGGTAGCCCTCGCCCGCGCCCCAGTGGCCCTCCGAATAGAGGCCCTTGGAATGTAGAATGAGCGTCGCGGCCGCCAGCACCGGCTTCAGGATGACGAACTGGAGCGTGCCCTGCTTGCACTTGCGCAGAAAGCGCCTGCAGAAGGACGAAGTCCACGGAGTGTGTTAGCTTAGGTCAGCAGAGCATGTGCAAGCGTGACTCTGTCTGCCAGGACCTCTGAAGTTGGGGTAAAAACCCTGGGTGTACCTTGCTTGCTTTCATGCAAAATGTGCGTACATAACGAAAAAGATAGTCATTGGGAGTCAGGATAACGGAGTGGTGGAGTAGCGCCTGTCCCGCGTGCACTCATGCAAACAATCATGCAGAAAGCAAGGTCTGAAGCACCCGTTTAGTTTCGAGACTAGGCAGAATCATGGAAACCTCTGAATGTATGACGCAGCGTTTGTCTTGGACGTTCCTTCACAAATGTTCCAGGCATGTACTTGCACACGAAGATCCTACAAAGTGGGGCATGCGACCACCGCACTGACAAACAGCTAACGAGGAATTAAACACGCCGATACTGATTCTCTGTTGTATCTTCTTATCGAAACTACTTTGAAAACAGGACCGAAATGAAAGTATTGGGGGCAAACCAAAAAATGGAAACGCTTACCCATCCAGCGGTATAGGACTGAGGCAGCAGGTCATGAGCGCCCAGGAGGGCTTCATCAAACGGCCCGAGAGGCTGACCACAACTTGCCCGGGACCCCCAACCCATGCCAAGCACAACGCCAGGAAATTGTAGATGACCCATGCCTCGTACCTGTGGAGGGCAAAACTTCCTATTGAGCTTGATTTACAAATGTGTGTTGTTTCGATGATGGAGATGATTTTATCAAAGTAGGGCCGCTAGACAAGTGACTGTCCTCTGGTGTTTGTACGGAGGGCAGGTGGTCCTCGCGCCGGAACTATACACTGGGATTGAGAAGGTATGTTCGGGGCTGGCAACATATCCAGAAGATGCCCTGTTCCTTGTGAAATTGCATGTCTGTTTGTCAAGTACTTAAACAAAGACACCAGCGCAGCTCCTGCTGGGCACGCATACTACTGCTACATTGCAGCTCGACATGCGAACTCGATGCAAAAACCTCCGAAGATAGGAGCAGGAGAAGCAAGCCACAGCAACAAGACGTGCTAGATAAGTAGACTAGCTTGAGCAACTTACACGTCTCTGATCGTGTTGAACCATATGGCCTGCTCACTTCGAAAGAGCGCAAGGAAGGACATCAACGCGTAAACCTGCAATTGGTGCTGTGCTGTCAGCTCTGAAAGAATTCCTGGTCACATGTTGTGCCTGCCAATTGGGGTCAACTTTGATATTCCAATTGGTGAAGTGTCTTGACAACCAAGCCACTGTGCTTCAGGACGGTGTTTCTCACAAGAGTGTGGTGTCTAATCTGAACCTTGGAACAGCAAGCACAGGGGCGCTGCACCTGTCGCTCCAGGATTCGGAACACCATTCATGCAGAATGGGCATGGATTGAGAATGACTGACGACCAGTACTTTGTCAGCTGTACAATCGAAAAAGTCCTCATTTGTGCGGCAGATTAGACCTCACAGATCTGCTACTAGATCCGGTGGCAGGATTCGACGAGAATCGCCAGTCAGTGCCAGTGATTTCAAATTGGAACTGCTAAGGATTCTTCCTAGCACCAGACACAAACATCACATCTCCGAAGTCTTTGAAGCTCCAAGAGCTCAACCAAAGGCACCAACGTTTAATGACATCCAGCATATCTATAGCTGGAATCTGGCTTTCATTGAGCCTGGAGACCTTAAAGACCATATGTTACTCTTTTCGACTCTGACTTACAGTACACAGATGCAAGAATCTCCCTCGTCATTTCGGCAGACGTTCGGGCTAGAATCTGGCAGCGGAACAAAACCTGCCCGCTGCAAAGGTTATCTGTCATAAACCTAACAACAGGCACACGTTCGCTGCTATGATACTCACCGGAACCATGAAGATGATCCTCACAATATACCTCTGAAACACAGGCTCTGTGTAGTTTTGCAGGTGGCGCAGGATGTGAATGATCGACGTGAAGCAAGCAAACGCCGTGCAAATGAACGCAATGAGGATGTAGACTGGCCCAGACACAGCGCTATGCCCACTAGCACTGGCTCCATAATTTTGAACCGCGGTGACATTAAGTCCGACCATGGTGTCCCAGAGAATTCCCAATGGGGCAACCCCCGTGTTATTTTGACCACGCTTGGATCTACTCCTTATCAGAACGATGTTTCTGCCATTGTAGTTCGCTTGCACGCAGTCTCCCCCGACGTGGGGGCAGCGTCTGCACCTTCTTGTCTCAAAGAACCTTCAGTACACGACTTCTGCAGAGAAGTTCGCAACCCCGGAGACTAGGTACCTCCTGTGCCCTCGTCAATAAACGGATGCGCCAAATCCCGCCTGCAAGCCTGCACTCGATTCCCTCTGTGAAGCGTGCCAAATTCGCCTTGCAATTCACTGGTGTGCCAGGCATCCGCCCTGATCCGCTTTCCTGAGCCTGCACCCATTGATTTTGTTGTGCACAGCTTGCACGTTCTGCAAGCTTCACGCGAGAGACAGTTGACTGATTCAGAACTAGAGCGGAAACGTAAGCCGCATGATTGTATTGAAAGCTGCATCTGGTAACCGTACGATGAAACAGACACACCAAAATGGACGCACATGAGACTGCGACCATCTTTGTGCAACATCGACGGTTCGATGATGGTCTCAAGCAAACACAAAAGTCCATACGCTTGCGGCCGGCTATAGCGTATACGGTACGGGTATAGGCTGTACGTTGACACTCAATCATGGCTGCCGCATCACAGCTTGCACTAGCACTGCCAGTGCTGCAGCTGAGCACAAAGTCATTCTTCCGAATGGCGATATGTTTGCTCAATGCCAATGGTGCAGCCACCGTCAAAGGCAGAGCTGTCTTCATGACGGAAAGCATGAGAGAGTCCAAAAGCTTGCCTGTCTGCCAAATGGTTTTCTGATCTCAGTGGCTTTTTCGCTGTCCCTTCGCGTTTGTTGTGCATGTCTTCGTCAAGGGTGCCTCGCTGCGACTAGGCAGGAAGAGTGATGACACAAACCCGATCGGGAGTCCATTGTTTAGCAGTCTTGAGTATTGTCGATTGTGATCTCATACGATGGAAGCCAAGGTTTCTGCGGGGGGGCTGATGGAGGGCGGTCGCGCTGACCAGCTTGAAGGTCAGCAGGTCAAGTATGCAAAGACATCACAGCGTGGCGAATCGGATGGGGAGGTGAGTTGTTATCACCTGATAGAACATTCCAGCTCATATAAACTCTGTGAATGATGTAGTGTTCGCTTCTTTTTGTCAGTATTCAGGAATGCGGTTTGACTTCACTTCAAGTCCTGGCAGAAGTGGCCTGCAAACTCCCAACATCAATCCATCTGGAATACCTTTGAATGACTTCTTGGAGCTCGCCCTAACTTGCAGAATCTATTTATAGATGTTCAATGCTGGTGAGGGTGATGCAACGTCTTTAGCATTGGTGATAGCAGGTATATTCAATTTGTGTGCCAGTCCCTTCCTCGCATATGTAAAGTAATGCGTAAGTATGCAAACGAGTGGCGATTGAGTGGTCCCTCGATCTGGCCAGGACCTTTCGCACTCAGAGTCATACAGTTGTATGCACTATGCGTTGCCAACATTTGCCTTTGAGTACAAACTGTTGATATTTTTTTGGCGGGTACAGGAGGACGACCCTGTGCGCGACTACATTCCCTCAGTCAACCTGACTGAACATCTGAAAGCGGCCTTGGGCAACGAGTTGTCGTGGAGAGCCGCTGGTCGCTTGGGGTCACGTGTCCTGAAATGGCTCTCAAAGCACAAGCACTACTTAGCAGTGGCAACAGGGCCCGTTAGCTGTCTACTAGTCCTCCTGGGGGCTGATCTGGATGATGCGGCGGAGTCAAAACAGGCGCGAATGTTCGGGGCGCTGCTGTGGATGGCCATCTGGTGGCTGACGGAAGTGAGCTAAGCTGCTTCTCCCTTTCGTGTCTAGTTTCTCTACCACCTCTTCAAATAAAGCTGCAGCCAGACTTTCAATTACGCAGTGCTCAGCTTGATACTTAACCTCGCTAAACCAGGCAGCAGCTGGAGGTAAGCAGGCCTCAACCGTCCGGTTAACCACTTGCTGAGCTCCAGGACATTCTTTCCCGCTTGTATGAAGCTCCTTGCTTGTCAATCTTCTGAAGATTGTAGATGTTGATTCGGCAGCCTCTGCAATGGGCAAAACTTGCAGATCTCCCCCACATTATGTCCACCTGTACGAGAGGGGTCTCTTTGTCCTGGAAGAAGTGACGCCTTAATATCAGATGAAGAAGCAGCAAAGTACTTAGACCCCACCCCGTATGCTCTCGGTCTTAGATGCCTGGACTCCTTCTCTTTGCAGGCGGTGCCTATCGCCATCACTGCTCTACTCCCCCTCAGTTTACTGCCCTTTTTCGGAATCCTGACCGCAGACAAGACCGCGTCCGCCTATTTCAACGACACTCAGGCCCTGTTCCTGGGGTCCTTCATCCTTGCGTTAGCTGTTGAGAAGTAAGCCCCAAGTCCGCTTTTTGCACTGAGAGAAGGTTCCCACTATGATTAATTATGATGTGTCTCCCGTTGGAAATGACCGTCAGGTCAGTGTTTCAACGAACAATGAACGAAGTTCTTGGTGCCCCGTTTCCTCCTCGTCCGTCATCAATGTTCGTGTACTTGTCGTTCATAAAACTAGAGTCTCAGAAGGTTTCTGACAGTGGCTGAGACGAATCCATGTACCAAAGCGCTTGCCAGAAAGGGCACAGTACTTCGAAGCTGGTGCCAAGCCCGTTTCGGACACATCAGAGCGTTTGGCACCGACCCTCACTATCTGCCTTAGCCACATTGTGCGTAAGCAAACATGAGACTGATCGGTACTCAAAGGAAACGCTCATCTATGCAGGTGGAACGTGCACCGGAGGATTGCCCTCAAGATGCTTCTCGTCGCTGGGCGTGGTGGGATGGACCCTCGCAAGCTGCTTCTCGTCTTCTGCCTCTGTCCCGGCTTCATCAGTATGTTCATCTCCAACACAGCAACGGCCATCATGTGAGCACATGACATAGACTTCCTAGTTTGCAGTTCCACAGAACATGGTGTGTCCAATCTTTCAATTCATGCTTTGGAGTACGTCAACTGCATCATCATCCAGGTTTCGGATTCTGTACGGCTATGCAATGGTTGACGAAAGACAAACGATTCCTTTGGGGTTAAGCACGTCCATCCCAAGTTTCCAACGGTCGGATTTGTCCAACCTGTTTCACGGCTGGCAGAGCCCCGAAACGGATGTTCGTGATGACCTCATCAAATCAGGCCATCCTCAAGAAGGTTTTGATCCTTACGTTTTCCCATCGCGGAAGTCTATACGTCACAACTTCATTCTCTTCTGACTTCTTTTTGCTGATCCACTGCAGGATGGTGCCAATGGCCGTTGGCGTCTTGCACAGAGTCCGCGAAGGCAGCGGCCGCATCAATGCAGCAAGTCTTGAAGAGGGTTTGGGAAGCGGCCCGAAAGTAGATCAGAAGATAGGCCACGACGTAGAGCTCGCGAAGTTAGGGTCAGCAGACAGTATTGTCACGGAACGGGGGGATGCAGAGATCAGCGAAAACTCCCCCCCACGAGGTAGGTCTCCTGTACGGCACAGAACGTTGAGCCACGACAATATTGAAGAGGTCGATCCGCACGAAAACTCATTCCATAGCATAGACCTTTCAGGCGAGGGGCACGAGCAGCGACCAAAGTCGCCAACTCGCTCTGGGGGGGTGGCTCACCAGCGGAAACGACCCCCCCAGAACGCAGGCGAGGGGGACGAAGGGACGGACGTCGAGTTGGGGATGGTTGAGAAGCGGGAGCGAGGGGGCGTCGTGTATGGTCGGTTGCAAAACCAGGGAAGCGTCATAGATCGGGGAGGTCGAGTCAAAGAGAGCAGGAGCGATAAGAGGATGCCGAGCGTGGAGGGGAAGGAGCCGGTCGAGGATCCAAACGAGGGCGTCAGTGAGGAGGTGCTGAACTACTGTAAAGGGGTGAGGCATCAATCCACCGTTGTGTAGATCGAACTTGTCGAGCTCGTCCGCATGCGCCTCTGGCCTGCTGATGTATCCGTTGTGAAAGCTCTGGTGCATCAAAGTGGCGTAGGGCTCTAGAAGGGGTTGCGTTTGTGGTGTAAGCGACGAGCTTAGAGTGTTGAAGGAGACGAGAATGTATGGGCGGCGATGATTAGTTTCATCCTTGACCAAAAACGTTCGTGCCGGACCATAAAGTAGGATCCGTTGTTCAGTCCTTAACTTCTTCTAGTCCAAGTGCTCATCTGTAGTGCAAGAATTATCGAACCTATCCTTGTTTTGCCGCCGTTCGGATGCTTCCCGTTGCTCTGCACTTGACGTTTCACCATCCCTCTTCTTCAGGTTGTTTTGGCAATTGCATTTGCATCTTCGATCGGAGGTATGGCGACGCTCACAGGCACGGTGAGCGACTCTTCCCGTCTCAAGGACCTCCACTTAGAAGCTTACGTCAAGTCTGCCGTCTTTGATCATCGACACCTTAGGGAGCCTTGCTTGCCGACAGGGATAAAAGAGTATTACCTGTGTCCAGAAACTCAGGGGCTTCTTTACACTCTGCTCGACGAAAGGGGCCTGAAACTTTGCATCGGGTATGCTCGCCTGACCCAATTCCTTCAGCGCCTCTGGCCTCGGCCAGTCAGCCGAAACCGCTCGACTAGCTTTCTAAGGGGTGAATTGTTGTAACATACAGCTCAAAGGCTGACATGAGCGCCTGGTACCTGTTTGTTTCAGCAATCGCCAAAGACGTGCAGACTCCCGGGGTCTGAAACATACTATGCTCTGTTTCAAGCACACAAACTGAACTGTCCCAAAATATGTCATGTCGCTGCTTCTCTTGGTGGTACCAGACAAACAAATTGAGAGCGTCGAGAGCGATTGCTTATTCTCATCTCATCCACAGCCTTCTTTATAGCTTCAAGGTTATCATGCTTATTCGACGTCTGAGTCCAGCTTCTCAACGACTACCTCCCTTGTTTTCGAAAGAAAGCGTCAGCTTGCCGCCAACTGCAGCGACACAACCAGCGCCGGACCTGCTTGGCATTCGCCGCGACAAGACGTGCCGACTTATTTCGCGGCGACGTCAAGCCTGCAGGTTTCACCGTTGTGTCGCTCTTTGACGTCAGGCGTTACAACTCATGGGACGCTTTCAAGGCGGTTGAACAACGATGCTGTCACTGTGTTTTTTCGCAGGGCCCAAACCTTGTGCTTGCCGGCATTTACCCCAGCCTTTTTCCCGGCGCCCCGTCCATCACATATGTACAGTGGCTCGCGTTTGGTCTTCCCATATCAACGATTTTTCTCGCTGCTCTTTGGGTGTTGCTGTGCGTCTGGTACTGCCCCCCCTCCGCCGTGGAAACCGTACGGCAGTGCTTGGACGAGTCGATCATCGAGCAGGAGTACCAGAGTCTAGGTACGGCGCTCGCTCGCTTCTCACTTCGCCTGATATGTATGGCGCTGGAGAAAGCAAGAAGACGGTACCCTCTTTCGGAGGGTCTCCTGAAAACTCTGGCTGGAGGAATGAATGCAACAATCTTGACTTTAGGAAAGCTCGCTTGTTCTTGCCAGTCAGCTGTCAGCGAACTTCAAAAGATCGCCCTGGGACGGGTAGGTTAGTTTGGTATTTGGGGTGGGTAGGTTTGCGGAGCAGGTACCTTTTCGGCTTACGGTTTATAGTGTGTGTTGGAGGATATTCTTACCTTGGCTAAAATCAATCTTCCTTGACGTTCATCTGCTCACGTGCTGTGCAGGGCCGATGTCATTTGCGGAGAAGGTGGTGTTGGTTGACTTTGTGGTAAGTCAGGGCCACGTGTTCTGCTTCTACCGAATCTGACATGATAAGCTACCTTCTGGTGGAAAAACATTATGGCCTTGCATTTGCTTCCCACGATGGGAATATCCAAGGCGTCCAGCCAGTCTCTCTGGGTTGACCGATGCAATCGGCAAGAGGAATTGGAGCACGAGTGCTCTCGTCATTTGACTATTGAAGACGCGAGTGCGAGGTCGCTTTTCATCTTGTTCCTTTCGTTGACGTCAGCACGCCGCTCGTGCTCTGAGTCTCTTTGCGCTCCACTTTTCAGAACAATTGCGGTTTGAGGCCGATGAGGCATACTGACACTACGAACTCAAATCGTACTGATGCTGTATTTATACTCATACTTGGATCGCATCCAATTCTGCGAACTTCTCTGCACCAACCTGGTGTTCCCCGGTCGTGGCGCATCCGCAGTCGCGAGCTTTGAGCGGGCACTCCTTAAAAAACCCATCCTTCAGAAATTGTTTACCACGTAAAACCCGTCCCTTTTCCACCTCTTGAGATAAAGCTCAAGCAGGATTCGACGAGTCGCGTCTGTATATCCTACCTCGTGATTCCGTGCCGCAGATCATGGCCACTCTCTGGTTGACCCGAAACGTCGGAGACGGCTGGGGCTGGTCCGTCTTCTGGCCGCGCGACTTCATCAAGGACGGGTCGGTCTCGGTAAGCCTCTACCAATCACCCGACTTGTCGCGGCACTGTAACGAACTTTCTTTCTTGGGGCGGGGCTTCGTTGAGCAGACGCTGCTCGATTTGTCACATCGAGCCGTTCGCGTTGACTCACACCTCTCCTGTTTCGCCACGGGCTGAAAGGAATCGAGAAGCACTTGCTGCCGTAAGAAAGGTATCAGTAGTAAGGAGACGACCTTTATATCTCTCTTGACATCAGATTCCATCAATTACGACGACGTCAAAACTCTGTCGTCCTCTTGCCGGCCCACTGGAGTTGTTGCCCCTTCCCAAGCTCAGTGCGATCTGGGCCTACCTATGTAAGACCAAAGACGTTTTGAGTCACTTGCTCACCTGCCGACGGCACCCTTCCAGAACTTGCTGACGTCACTTTCTCACTCTCCAAACAGGCCACGATGGCCACCGTGCCGGTCGCGACGCCAGCACGGTCGGATGTCGCCAACAATATCAATCTGCACTTGAGATATCAATCTGCACTTGAGATATCAGGCCTCCAACGTTTGCTCACGTCAGACTTGCTGCGTCAGACTTTTACGCCACGATGGCGATCGTGCTGTTTGCGATGCCGGCACGGTCGGGCGTCGTTAACGAGATCATGATTCTTGATGACGCCATGCATCCTTCCTACAGTTGCTGACGTCACGACTTTTCTCCTCCTTGGCAGGCCACGATGGCGATCGTGCTCTTTGCGATGCCGGCGCGGTCGGGAGTCGCCAACGAAATGGTGCTTGATTGGGAGACATGCAAGCGGCTGCCATGGGACATTGTACTGCTCATGGGGGGAGGTCAGGCTCGCTCCCGAAAGACGTCGAATGACGTCATGCATGGCGTCATCGTATCTTTTTGGGAAAAGCCTCACCACTCCTGACTGCCTAGCGGGCAGACATCTGATCACAGGTTCATGGAGCCGGACACATTTGTATTCGAGATCTCGTTGCTCGTTGATTGCCCCTTTTGATTGTCCGTTCAGTTTCTCCGAGGGACCGTGCTTATCCTGGATAAGCGCCCCGCAGGTTTTGCAATCTCTGCGGGCGTCACCCAGAGCAACCTCTCGAAGTGGATTGGCGAGCACATGCGCTTTAATCTCGTACCTGGGTCAATCTAATAGAGCAACGTCTTTCAAACCCTTTCATTTCGTGATCCCGTTGCTCGTTGATTGTCCAATGTTGCTCCTCTTTCCAATCTTCCTAGATATGGTGGTCTTTTGGCATATTCCCCAGGGTTTGCACTCTCTGCTGGCGTCACACAGAGTTGCCTCTCCGAGTGGATCGGCGAGCAGAATGCGCTTCCTGAGCTTCTTTCTCAACCTCCAAATCCGTGACTGTCATAAGTCTCAGACCTGCGCCCCGTCTCATTTCGCCTGAGGACCGTGCTGATCTCAAACGAGCTCCTTGCAGGTTTCGCACTCTTCGCTGGCGTCACCCAGACGGGCCCCTCGTTGCTTGCGCCAACAACTCGCATGTGCTAGTCACTGCTAATCCATTTCAACCCGTCGCTAACCGATGTGCAGGCTTTGCACTTCCGGCGGCTGTCACCCAGGGCGGCCTCTCCGAGTGGACCGGCGAGCACATGCGCTTTGTTCTCTTACCTGATTAATTTTGGGCAGGAAAGCTTCGCGGATATTCTTCTACTGTCCGTTCAATCTCTTTTTCAGCTCCCCATCTCCGTTCTTCTGAAAATGGTGCTCAAGGGCAGATATTCTTTGCAGGTTCTGCTCTCCCAACAGGCGTCACCCAGAGCGGCCTCTCGGACTATAAACCCCGTTGCTCGCCACTCTCCTTTTCATTACCCCCAGACTCGTTAGTTCCAAATCTCGTGCTGATTTTGGCCACCTACCTTGCAGGTTTCGCACTCTCTGCTGGCGTCACTCAGAGCGGCCTCTCCGAGTGGATCGGCGAGCACATGCGCTTCATACGCTTCCTGCCCAGCGCGCTCCTCACGCCCGCGATCGCCGCCGTCGTTACTTTTACCACCGAGTTCTCGTCCAACGCTGCAACAGCCACCGTGTTTCTCCCGCTTTTAGCTCAGGTGAGCCTTCGCGCATGCCGCTGTTGCCACTTATCTTGTGCTCAAGTGATGCTTCGCTGACTCTTGTCTTTTGAGCAGGTACCCGTTCTCTTTTATAACCCAATTAATTTCTGGTAGATCTCGCCTTGACTTATTCCGCCTTGGCCAGAGCAGCGATTTGCTCGGGACCTATGGAAACTATGTCTCGTCAATCTCCGGAGGTTTCTCCCGGAAATATCAACGTGTGTTGAGCAACCCTCCTGCGAAGCGCGGCTGATACAGTCTAATCCAAAGGTACTCCTCAGCGTGAATGAGTACATCAAGTTTAAGATTGTCTGTGGACACAGCCAGAAAACAGGCAATCCTCTGCCTGGGAGAAGGAAGTCCTCAAGCCTGTTCCAACCTGCATCAGCAACTGATGAAACGTGAGGCAAAAAAGTCAATTTACCAGGGCCGTGTCTCTGTTTCTTTGGCAGGTTGCCCTCTCTCTGGAACGGCACCCGCTCCTGCTCATGATTCCGGCGACCATCGCGTGCTCATATGCGTTCATGCTGCCCATAGCCACTCCCCCCAACGCCATAGCGTATTCCACCGGCTACTTCAAGATGACGGACATGGCGCGGCCGGGAATGGTCATGAACGTCATCGGCATTGGTTTGCTGGCGGCGTTTGTTCCAACGTTGGGTGAGGGCTGGTTCTAAATCACCACTCGAGGATACTTACTCACAATTCCTTTGTTAATCCTTCATCATTTGGCGCGTGCATATTTGAGCAAGTGAGACTGGAATTCCAACCAGTCGTTACTTGCCGATAGAAGTTGCTAGCACGCTACGGTTGTTGAGTGCTTCTGATTGGCGCATGGTTGGCGTCCGGTCCGACCTTCGGTGAGGATGTATGCAGAAGCTTTACGAAGCGGCGAATCAAATCCTCAGGGATGGCTATGAATCCCAATGGTTGTGAGAGGACAGATCTCCGGAACCACTGCGATCGGACCGAATGATTTGTTTGTTGTGAACCTGTTGCTGAGCGTTAACACCGCATGCATGACGCATGGTGGTTCATTCTTATCGTCATAAGGCAGGTGATATCCGAATTCAGCGCTTACTAGATTCGCCTCATGCTTCGGTTGACTACCAATGACTTTCAAGATGAGGTTCCATAGGCGCTCAATTTGCTCGTATGAAGGCGAGAGTGCTAGGAGGCAGGGTCGCTTGACGGGGCTATTGCAAAGGCTGAAGTCGTCCGTGTCAGCTAAAGTCTGTTCATCTGCGGTCTTGCAGGTTCACTTGTATTTGGCTTGGACACACCAGTTTCGGAGCTTCCATGGTTACAGCAAGCTCTCAATTCCACAAGGGAACACGACGGCGACTAAGACCATGGTTGACGATGGCCCCTATCAAGGGGCTCCCGTATGGAAAAAGCGGGTGTCTTATACTTCACGAATCCAACCATAGCTTGGCATGTACTTTTCGAGCAAGGAGATATCATCAAAGACAAGTTTGACAGCTTTGCACGTGGACCCCGCTGAGGAATGGCAGGTTTTGTCGGTGCCGGCTGGGAGGCCATACAGATTACAGATTCATTGCAAACCAAATCTGCCGACTATTGTCTATCGAACTTGAACGCTGGGTGACCAGCTGCCCGCCTTGAGTAGCTTGCCGGGCAAGATACGTTCTCCAGCGTTCAATTCAATGGAAATGAGGAATAGAGTGGTTCCAACACGGTCGATGCCATGACGTAGTGTGTGACGTCGAGAGCGCATGCTATAAGCCACCGCGTCACTGCGTGCTGAATGGGCATTTTAAGCTGTCAAGGGCTCAGAATAAAGCCTCGTCTGAGTCGGTCAATTCAGCGATCTTCACTCAAGTTAGCACATAGTGCTGAGGTACGTTCGAGATACGTTTTGGTGAGTCAGCCTTGAGACGGTTGTCGCAAGATATTGCCAGCATGTCGCACGGGCCTTAATTAATATCATGCGAATGCTATATTGTGTATATATATGTTACTTTCAATGTTAGCCGCTGCGCGGCCTGCACCTTTGTTGTCGGAACATTTATGCAGATCGACGGTACCGCCAACCGGTGCCCAATCATTGGCACTGCAAGGCGGAGCTGCACTGCGGGGATGGCCCCATGGGCTAGTCGAACATCACTAGTACCTCAGTACGATGCCGCATTGGAATGCCCTGCTATAGCGCATGTGATGCATGCGCATCGTCACTAGTGAAGGTCACGAATGGCTATAGGCCGGGCTGCCCCAGCAAGCTCAGTCACACTATCCGATCACATTCACATGCCAGAACTTAACTGACACGTAGTTACTCAGTATGGCTCTGTTAGTATCTATGTACGCAAATGAATCCTTCTAATTCGGTGTATGCAGATACATCCCGGAGTCCTGGGACAGGCTATAAGTAAGTCGCACCAAGCTACGTAGACACTTCACGTAAAGGTCATAATGACCTGCAGATTCCCACCATCACATGTGGCCCGAACCAGACTCAGGCGGCATGACATCTCCATTCCAGCAAGGCGTCTGGCATGGCGTATAATGCCCCAGTCAAGCACGCAGAGTCGCCGTCATGCGCGTCGGCATGCAGCGCGCATTGGATTGAATGGATGCACCACACATGAGAGTACACAAAGTCAGCAGAAAAGGTGCCAAAATTCTTGACAAACAACGGTTGTTTGCACTTATGCACCGACGACTTCTTGAGGCTCGGCGGCCTCGCCCTCCGCAGCAGCCTCGTCCCCGACAGGCCGGTCGATCTTGGCCCCCGTGTCCTCCGAGTAATCTCCGTGAACCTGAAAAGCAGACAATCCCATCAGACGAGCAGCAATGAACCTCCCTGTTTAGAAAACAATGCTCTACTAACTCTTAGAGCACCGTACTTCCTCGTGTTACAGAACCAAACACGCTGAGGACGTTGCCGTCTGCAAACGCTGGAGCCAACTCCACGGATTGACAACCAACTCGCATCCAAGAGCCCCGGTCCTGTTGCGTATCACCCAAAAGACCACTCTGACAACAAGAGGGAAGTAACGTAATTCACAAGATTGGGGCGGGAAGAACGATCTGTTGCCGGCCTTTATAGTAAAGCGGCAGTTTGAAAGGCTGCCGCCCACCATCTTCGCCCCGCGTTCCTGTGGGCACCCCGCGGCAGCCATCCCGCCACGGGCAGGCGAACGACTGCTTGACAAGGAGTGCCCAAACTACCCCACCGCAGAGTGATCGAAACAGAGAACAACTCAAACTGTATCTGTGATTGTCACTCAGTCCTTGCTCCATCTCCAAACGATCTTATCAGGCAATAAATAGACAAAGACCCTGGTCAAACCCCCTCGAAGACTCTCCACTATCTTGTGCCTTCAAAGATCCTCACCTCGTGCATGAAAGAGCAAAGGTCTTGTTACCCACCCGCAAGGAGAGCCTCAACTCCAACAATTGGCCGTATTGTTTGTTTGTTAAATCGTCAAACCACGTGCCCTAAGCAGAAAGTCAAAAACGCTGAAAGGAAAGACACCTCACCTGCATGAGCTTGCCCGGGTCGAACCTGGCGACTTGACGGTCTCAACTTGACAATCTCAACTTCACTTCCACTCCCCAAGGAAAACCCATAAAAACCCAAGACTAAGCGCTAGACACCGAAATAAAAGAGCCTCACCTCCATGAGCTTGCCCAGGTCGAACTTGGGCGACTTGAGAATCACAACTTCACTATACCCCTCTCCCCAACCCCCGGAGGATCACGAAAGCAAAGCACCGAGAACAAACCGCCGCGAAAGAAGCCTCACCTCCATGAGCTTGCCCAGGTCGAACTTGGGCGACTTGAGGATCTTGACCTTGCGGATGAACGTGTTCTGCAGGGGGTAGATGCCGGCGGTCGCCTTCTCGATCTCCTTGCCAATCACCTCGGGGATGAACTTCTGGACCAGCTCCTTCAGGTCGCAGCTCTGCGTCTCCCGCGTGATGATCTCCACCATCTTCTTGCGGATCTGTGCAGCGAAGGGGGGGGGATTTATGAGGATCTGAGGTGCCGGACCATCAGGAGACTGCATTCTCGCGTGATGATTTCCAAGTTCGGCTTGCGAATCTGCGCGTAGAGGGAACGAAATGTGAAGTTCCCAATCCAGAACGAGGAAAAAACTGGCGTTTCTTGCGTCATGAACTCCACCTCTTCTTGCGGATCTGTGCAAAGGGGAGGAAGAATTGTGAAACAAATCCAGTGTCAGCACTTAGGCGGGAGGTGAGCGGCTCAGATATCAACTACAATCTGCATCTCTAGGTTCTCGCAGGGGCAGGATGGAGGGCTGCGGACGTCTGCAAGTGGATGGCATGTTTGAGATCAGCCAAAGCGAGCAAGCTCCTTTTCAAGACATTCGAGGGTGGTGGACGTTTTGAACGGGTCCGAGACGATACAAGGTGCGATGCCCTCTTTCTAGGATCCGTATCACACTCACACACGTCTTAAGATATGAATGCAACGTCTGTTCAAGAAACTGGGAAATCGGGCGAGCAGATACTTTCAAAGGTACCCAATGTCCGAAATCTGGTGTCCTTGTCAGAATAAGAAAAGGATTGAAATGTGCCGATAGCGAAAGGCCCGCAGCATCAAGGAGCTTGTGCGCAGGTGAGTAGCCTCGATATGCTGTTGCAAGAACTGAAATTGTCGGGCCACATGCAGGGGCTTGTTAGGCCCCCTGCTGCCAACAGAGTGTTGTCTTGCTTGTCTTAGAAACTAGACCCAGACGGAGGCGCCAACCCTTTGTGTGCACCCTTTCGACCGAAAAAGATGCATATTGAAAGAGCCCCTCTTGCAACAGACCAAACAACGAGAGCTGGCTCTCAGCCAGTCCATGTGCCTCGTCACGCGGGAGTAAAGCAGGAGCTGCAATGACCGACTGCAACGAAGCAGAGTCGCATCAGCAAAAGCTCTACTTTTTCCACTTCTTTCGTCCCACCCCAAGAAAGCGGTGAAAAGTCAGATACGGGTCAAGGGAGGGCACAACGATCCAATACGGAAAATACATGGAACATAAGATCTAAAAAACCCTCCACCCGAGTTGACTGCAAAAGGAAACGCATACATCCGCCTCATGAACAGAGAAACACCTCCAGCATAAGAACGGAAGTCCAACAAAAACTTCGAGAAAAGTGTCTTATCAACCAGAGCACTCACTTAAAAGAAAACCCATCCAGTAAGCCCCGGAAGATTCAAAGCCTTTGAATACCTTGATGGGTCGTTAACAAGATAGTATCACTTCGACTTCGATGACAAACACAGCGGCTCACATTTAGCCGTCGTTTTCGTTTCAATGGTGGGCGGGCTCACACGAGCAAGACTTGTTTCGGAAACCATTAGTAGAGGACCTCTCTCTTCAAGACAGAACCAACTAATCCAGGATGCACACAACGAAAAATGGATTTGCGTAACAGTTCTGCATACAGCGACTTGAAGAAATTGAAGGCGCACTGCATATGTATCTGGCGTGATATGCAACTTGCATCTCACCAACGCCCCTCTGCGTTGCAACTGCCGTTGACAGTCTTGTCAACGGGCCTGGACCGTCATCATCAGGGACTTTCAAGACGACACACCTCAGTTCTCTGCTAGAATGATATCCAAGCACTAAAGCATGCATACCCCCCATTGCCCTTCTCTTCCAAAAGTAGGGAGGTGAAGTAGGGAGAGGACAACAAGCAAGGCAAAATGTCTCAAAACGAACTTCTGACCAATATTTTGCGCGTCTCACCTGTCTAATCTGGGCGGTCTGCGCGTAGCACGTCCGCTTGATCTGGTTCTGGCGCTTCTTGGTGAAGGCAATGGCAAACACACGCAGCGTGTAGTTGTCGGTCGTCTTCACGTCCACGTTCGCCTCAATGAGGCTCTGCCACTTGCGCACCAGCGACCGCAGCTTGTCGGTCGTGAAGTCCATGCCCTGAGAAAACACAATGGAAGATGTCAGTCCAGAAGTTCTTCTTGACTGCCTTGCTTTATTCGAAGTGAACCTCAAGGGGAAAGAACGGTGGTCCCGTTTATCGTGAAGTTTAAGGCTGTCAGAGAGGACAACTATTCGACGGCTTTCAACAGACGAATATTGTGAAAGTGCGCTTGAGATTGGTGCCAAAGTGGCGAATATCCATCCTGTTCAAATAACTAATGTCATAGCGCTCTGCAGCGGGGCTTGTCTACAAGCACAGACTTTCAACCAGGGGAAATATCTCTTATTCTAGTTCTGGTCGGAGTCAAAAAGCTAAGAATCAGCAGGACCTTGAGGTGCAAAGCTAGTGCAGTTGGTTGCAATGCATATGTTGCCGTGATAGCCAGCTCTGCTCTGCCCCCAAGCTGCAGTACCCAACAATCCTGGACTGATCATCCGGCCAGCAAACCTCAGCAAGCTTCCATATGAAAGACTGAACCCCAAAAGAAAGATCGATTCACCGCTTGCAATTGCATGCCCCCTGTGCCCAATGGTGCTTTCGGGGTGGGATAACAACTTAATCATTAGGTCAATGCTTACAAACCAATCTGGAACTGACAACTGGGTGTTCTTCAGGGAGTTGCTTGGCACCAGCAAACCACCTTTGAACATTGATAATAGCGTTGGATTCGGGGAGTTGCTTAGCATCAGCAAACCACTTTTGAGATTTAAGAAAATCAGAAAATGCTGGTGAACATGAGTTCGGCGCTCACGTAGAAGTTGGTGAGCACGTTCTTGCCCTGCACGTCCTCCGCCCGCAGCTTCATCTTCCTGAACGCCTGGTCCTCATCGTTGTTCAGGTCCGCCAGCGACACCTCAAACACCCGGCCCTTCAACCCGTCGGAAGCAATCTGCAAACATACAGCAATTGGGCATTTGATACGAAATGCGACCTAGGTTGTACTTAGGGTGCTAGTGAAACTACGCCGGCGGCCCCTAACCCCGACAAATGGCTTGATAAAAAACCTGCTGACGATACAAGCCCCCCAAGTCCTTCCTTGATGATGCTCAAATGAAGCGAGCAGAGACGGGAGTCTAAGACAAGCTCGTAGCTCGTTTTGAATGTAAAGCGTTGCTGCAAGCGATCGCTTTATTGAGGTCAGAGTAGCTTGTACTGCCAGCTCTTGCGTAACGCTTTGCATCCAAACACGAATCATTCCTCATTCCATGACGGAAGTATGCTCGCTCCAGACCAGCTCGCTGGCTGATCCAGCTCTTGCTCAACCCTCATGAAACTCATGATCAGAACCATTTGCAATTGCACAAATAGTCAAGGGCCAAGGACGCGGAGCGCACCTTTGTTCCCTGTGTCCGCGTCACCAGGGTCTTGCCAACATTCCTCTGGGAGAAGACGGACGGCGCCTTGATGTCATACCAATCCTTCTTGGCGAAGGGGTCGGAGCTGCAAGCAAAACAACGGTCTAAGAGCCAAGGCGCAGATATAGAAGAGAGAAACATTCGCTGGTCGCTAGAGTCTCTGTGCCTAAGAAGCGCCTGGAAGACGCCCCAACCAACCCCAACTGATGCTGTCACAGCCCCGCTTCAGGCTGCCTATGCGAATGCGCAGTTTCCGGGCTTGTATGGGGCCAGAAAACCCAAGCTACTTGAGCCGAGAATAAGGTGTCAGAAGGCTTTCCTATCCTGGAATAAAGCTGACTTTCTGAGGTACTTCCGGACGGCAACATCCAGCTGCACCATCTGACAGCCTTACAGCCCCAGATGCATCTTTGCAGTCTGGTTCGATGGAAAATATCCCGATGCAGACGGGGAGCAAGATGTGCAGGAGCTTGGCACTACCAGCTTTCACTCCAGACCTGAGAAAGCTTGCACGCTTTCTTGACTCAGAGCGCTTCTGCTGATGCTGCCAATTGCTGTGGCTAGATAATCCTCATCAACTTCCCCGCCGACGCTGCTATACTGTCGTCTCCCGAGGAACCTCTACCACATCCTATGGACATGCTACAAGAAAGACCGGAACCTGCTGCTGTACGACTGCTGCAGACCGGTCGCTTCATGCCGTAGGGCCCTCCATTGCATTGCTCAACCATTCCCATCAAGATGGTAACGGCCTCTATGCACCTGTTCAATCAACTGCCAACAGACTGACTGCCTACAAACTGACTGGTCATGGTAATGGTTGACCAACACTGCATTTCGCAGAGTCTTCGCCCCACAAAGCCCGGTGTTGCAGCCTACTCCATGAACTATACATGGCTGATTAGAAATGGTAATGGTTGACAGCACCGGACAGAGCAACCCGCCTTTGACAATCTAACTGGCACGCTTTGAAAACAGATCCCTAGTTGTACAATCGGCATGAGTAGAGGAAAGCTAGATACTCACACTTTCTTCTTGCCACCCTTCTTCCCCTTTGAGATGCGCTTGTTCTTGCTGCACACGTAGAAAGTCCCACAATCAGTACTGCTTTCGGGCCCGGCTTAGCAAGAAATCCTGAACTGAGCATCCGTATTGCGGGCCTACAATCAGCAACGCAACACAGATGAACGTTCTTAGCGCTAGCTGCAACTTCAACACTTCCTTGCATACGCCCCCTCCCCTCTTGTCTCAGACTACTTTCAAATATCAGAAATCCCTTCATCAGCATCCCCTCTAGTATTGCATCCCTGCCCTTGCTCAAACCACTCCCATCCACGCCGGCATATAAACCTCTTTCAAGTTCAGCGCCCATCCTCAAATTTGAGCGAGTACCGTAACTGGACCGCAAAACGACCCGGCCAAGGAGGATCTCTTACCCGACCGCCATGATGGCTGACCACGGTCAACGCCTGGCAAGCTGCAAGCCCTCCCTGCGTACCCAGCCCGGCGTGTGCAGCCAACGCCTGGCGAAAGAGGAAGAGGAAAGAGGCGCGAGCCCGGCAAAAGCTCACCCGCAACCCACGATGTACTGTAGTTCTCGTTTGGCAGGGACCGAAAGCCCGGAGACAAGTCTGGAAGATCGAGCGGAAGGAAACCGTTGTATGACACGACTTGAAGTTGGTATACGCTCTTGGGAATAAGCCAGGAATACGCGCTTGCTCCTTGCATTTGTTACAAATCTGTCAAAAGTTTCCTGACATATGTGGGTATTGGATATAAGAATAATAGGTCGCTCATATTTCGATGACAGACTTCTTGCTTATAGGTGTTAGAGGATGATGGTCGTCTTGTCGGACAAACTGTCTGACTCTAAGCAGCAAGAATAACTCAGACAAGGGGTGGACGGGCAATTGTTGGTTGCATGGATTGAAAGCACGGGGCAAGAAGCAATGGCGTCTGCCGTGTTGGTGCGGGAGGGGGCCTGCTTGTCATGCATCAGGGCAAGGGCAGGGAAGACAGAGCGGCGCCGGAATCCCTTGCAGAGCGCTTCAAATGGTGGCACATTTGGGAAGCGTGTTCCTCATCAATTGCAGCATCATGCAGGCAATGTACGGTGGCACAGTAGTTCATGCAAACCTGGCGTCGTTGAAATGTCGTTGAAATCCAGCGACACGCACAGAAATGCTGCTAACAGTGAGTCGCCTTTGATCAAGCGTGAACAGAATGTGGCGCCAGCCGGAAGTTGGGCGAAAGGCAAAGTGGCCGCTCTAGTTCTGGCGGTGCTTCAAAGCGTGGCGCCTATGACGCCGGTGGATGTGTTTGGAGGGAGTGTGCCAGTGGCAGAGGCGGTGCTGACGAACCCGAACACGAGAATCCCGAAAGCGGGTGATGTCGCCCTGCGACGAGCAATTCCTGCTCTGAATGTTGAGACGAAGAAAATGCAGGTGAGTTAGCATATCAGAAAAGTGAAAAACAGGATACTGAGTGTACGGATTGAAGTGCAGGGAGTCCAGCAGCTAGGCTATCTAGCTTGGTTCAGGACCATTGATCATCTGATGTACCACCAATGCACGTATCAAACATCCAATTACGCGGCCAAAGCAGCCTGCAAGTGGACCTCCAGAGCACCGCACCCTTCTGTAACGATCAAAAGTAGAACGGATTCTCATCATCGTCAACCAAGACGTCTAGCATCACCACAAGTCGAGGCGGACGAGCTGTGAAGGATTGGTAGGCTCTGAATCCCCATGCAGTCATTTAGATTGGAACCTCTTCACTAGCTTCTATCATACTTGGACCTGGCTTGCTTACGCCATGTGGGCCATCTTCTTTCTAAGTCCATCAACACGTTTACTTTGAGGGTGGTGGAAGGCCCTCGAAGCATGTAATGCGTCCCTGACACCTTCAGCAAAGCTTGTGAGAGATTGACGTGATTATTGCATAGTTGATCAAAATCACTGGAGTACGCTAGGCATCCTGGCGTCGATATCCGGACAATGTACCTCATGCACAAGGGCCTAAAAAGCATCGTTCTCATCCAGCAGTCTCCAACACTGATAGCCTGACTCATCGGCGGTTGTGCTAAAGAGTGATAGAAGCGCACCTCTTGACAAGTATGTATCCCAAGGGCATGCCTTGCAAAGTAACGAGAGTTGATCCAGTTTTTTAGAAGATTGCTGGTGCTTCCTTTGCAGGAGTTGATCGAAGAGCTGTCCTACCTTCTTCGGATCCCACAGAGGAAGCCCTACGGCAGCATGGCCAAAAACACAAAGGAGGCGCTAGAGGTAACCGCTTCTTCCTTTTCTTCCACCGTGAACTCAAAAGCTCCGTTGCCTCGTTTAGGCTTTGTGATCGACATGCTGGCACCCAATATGCTACCCCTGGTTCGCTTTGTTACTAACTTTCTGAGAAGCTTGGAAACGGCCGTTCGCCAGGCGGTGCGCGAATTTGTCTCTTGCTCATCTTTGCACCTGGGTCCCTCGCAAATGGGATCCTGTGCCAGCTATTTGTGATCAGCTTTGAGCTTGCCCTTGACACTTCAATTAGTGCAACTGCTCAGGTCTCGAGGCTTTGACATTCCAGCCAGGCTTGCTCTCTTCTATAGCTTGGGGTCGTCCAACACCAAAATCTTCAGTGGGGTCCCAGAATTAGAGTCTCTCTGGTGGCGTGACCAGCAATCTTCCAGTGAAAGGGGACTTCCTTCTTGTGCTGCAGATTGCAACCAAAAGCAAGGACGCCATTCTGAACGCTGTGGGGCCGCAGTTTCGACAGCAGGCCGAGGGTATCTATGCCAGCCTAATAGAGGGCAGGGTGAGTGTACGCGCATCCTTTTACGCTGAGTAGATTTGGACCCGCAGCGCAGATCCGTAGAGCTTCAAGCGCTAGATGGAATTTCGGGCAGCTTCACAACTTACCGTGCCAGGTTATGGAAAAGTGCTGATTTTGAGAAACTCGGACTTCTTAGGGACCGGAGTGCAACCAGGGATTAGCTTTGGTGGGAGTTGTAGTTGAGCCTATGTCTTAAAGACAGGGCTGGTGGAAAAGTCGGATTCAAACTCAAAGTGTAACAGTGTAAATGATGTGGCGGTGCTCCAGAATGTGCTCTATCTCCCAACTCATTTCAATCCTGGTTAAGTTTAGAAAGCACGAGCACACCCCTGAAGTAGCTTCGAGGCGGTGATTCACATGAAGCTACCAGCTTCGAGGTCGTTGCTTAGCGCCTTATGGAAGTATACTCTGGGATTGAGTCGAAAGCACGTCTTTGACTACTTTGCATGCAATTTAACGAAGTTCGTTTTGACTTCTGCCTACAAGAGCCAGCTCTGCATAGATGGAAAAGTGCTCGTGGTAGATATCGGCACTGAGGACTTCAATTGATCTTTTAAGAGTTGAATATGCGAAAATCGTTTGCACAGCTATCTCTTCTTATGTCAACCAAGGATCTTGTTGATGCCTCTTTCATCCATTTACCAGTTTCCTGACTTCCATAGCCTTTCACTTCTTTCATAAAGTACCCAGTCCGGATTTCCTGAGTTAGAAGAAGCTTGGCGCCGTGCATAATGAAAGTTCGAAATTGGTGGCTGTCATTGGGTGTGCAACCGCTCAAGGTTTGCCATAAACAAAGTTGGATTACAATCAAGGCAATTGTGCCCACTTGAGCGACTCTCATTCGCGGCTTTTGTAACAATCCATAGCCGCGAAACAAATTTCTCAAGGATGCTTCGAGGTAGCATCCTACTGAAAGTGCTCTTCCCCTACAGACGAGCTACAAGGGTCTCTTGGAGGCCATCGACGCCCAGGATGCTGACGTGGCTTCAGTGCGCATCCAAGCGGTGCTGAACAACCTCGCGCAACTTGAGCTGCTACAGGCGCCGGCGCTGCCTTTCACGGTCCCAGCGCAATACAGCAACCTTCCCAGGTAAACCACGTGGCACCTAAATTGTATGACACGTGTGCAGTAGTAAATCTCTCCAGGCGAGACACGTGGCAGTACAGCAACATTCCGAGGTCAGCCACCTGGCGAAACCCTGGCAGACAGACATATCGGAGGGGGAATATCACTTTCGCGTTAACTCTGTTCGCTGTAGGATTCTTTGTATGCTCACAGAAAGTGCTGCCGCGGTCTCGAGCAAGCGTTACTAGCTGCTCAGAGCTGAACGACAGGGTGCCTTTTGAGCGTCCTTTTCTGCAGGGCCATCGAAGAATCCATCCAAGTTTCTTATCAACCTTTCTACAAAGCAATCTATCAGGGGAACCTTGCAAATAACCTTGGCATCAAACCTGTAATGACGACCAATAAACCTGTTGAACCAGTTCGGACCGTATCCAAACCATGAAGTTCAGACAGGACTTTGATGTAAGTCCGGCGAACAAAACGTATCATCAGACAAGTCGGCTGGTTCTCTGTTTAAAAAAGGGGCAAGTAAGAGAATGCCGTGAGCAACTACCTGATCTCACGACGTATGGGGGGCGTTTCAGGTGTCATGCAAAATCGGCGCTTTCTCCTGCGCAGATTGAACGGTAGGGCCACGGTAGCGTTAGAGATTGCCCGCAAGGGCGGAGACAAGTTCGTGCTGAAAGCGGGAGGTGGCGCCAAAGACACAGCGACGCTTGAACTAGTGCTGGACGGATACTCGGCGCCCATCACAGCCGGGAATTTTGCGGATCTGGTGAGTCAGTGGACTCACACCGAAGCACCCAGGCGTTGGAAGAGAATGACTGGGCACTTTGGACCCGATTCCGATCATGGCGTTACGATTCTGATTTGACCGGGGAATTCTTGCTCCTTTTGGGTCCCCGAGGGTGCAAGTATCACGGGGCCTGCCGCATCAGTCTGACCACACCAATGACTTGTGTTGTCAAGGGACCTGTTTCGCAGCGGACTACTTTTCCCAAAGTCCGCAAAGCTGGGCTTACTTGATTCGTGAGCGTCCATCAAGTGCATGTGAAATCAAACGAGTTGACCGTTGAGCCGTCTACTCTCCTTCTCAACGCAACGCGGCACTACAACCGTTATTGTTGCCACGAATCTGGTCTTAAACCCGAGTCCGCTTAACATCAGCCTGCTATATCTGCTGATTGTAGCTGGATTACAATTCCGCTTTCTCATGAGCTCATCTTGCTTTCTTTCTTTTCCGTAGCATGTTCCTGTTCTAGATTTGTATTGCTTCTTATTTGTTCTGCAGATCTCCCGGCAAGCGTTTGACGGCGTCCAGCTCATAGCGGGCCAGCAGTCGATCATCACCAAGGGCGACATTCCCGCGGCTCAGGGGCGGGTGCTGCCGCTAGAGATCAAGGTGGCGGGGGAGTTTGAGCCGGAGTACAGGACGCAAGTAGACGTGCAGGTGAGAGCGGTTACCGCCTCAGTTTAAGTTAACCTCTTTTCTGGTTCTTTCGACCAAATACCCGGCTTCCGTCGGAAGGAACTGTCTACGACGAGCCCAAAGGACCACTGAACGAGCTGTCAGCCGAATGAATTTCGATCTGTTCCGGATGACTTTATATTGGAAAGAGATACCTGCCATTAAAGGGTTGAGCGTTTCGAGATCCGGTGGTTGAATGCACTCGTTCAGCGACAGCAGAATTGCGGAGCGTGGCTTTCCCCAACATGGTTCGAGGCGTTCAGCTTACAGCAACCTTCTGCACCGTGCAGGGTCTTTCACAGACCCTCTTCGTGACTTTTGTCAACACTGTTAATGAGATTTTGCATCTGCTCCTTGCTCTCTGACGTCATCGCGTTGCAGCCACCCTCTTGCGACGCCATTTAAACCGACGGAGAGTCCAGAGCAATTTCAGCGTGGAGCGCCGATCAGTACGGCATGTGCATGCCCCATTATCAAGCGGCGGACCCAAAGCATCTGCTCACGCAATCAACATCTTCTTAAGCCTCCCATCAGCTTAACCGTTTTGCATCTTCTTCCGATTAGGGTGGCGCAGTTTCGACTTCGCCCATCTCAAAACCAGCACCTTCCTCGAAGCTTCAGCGCTTTCGTCGTTTTGCATCCTTCAACAAACTAGGGCGGGGAAGTCCTAACTTCTTGTCGCAAGCCTTCACATCAGGGCGGGGAGATCCCAACCTCGTGTTGCATCCCTTCAAACTAGGGCGGGGACAGTCTAACCTCCCTTTCCGTCTCTTCGAACTAGGGCGGCGAGATTCCCATCCTGCCCATCTCGGTGTACGGCGCGGTCGTCGCAGCCCACGACCCCAGCTCGGAGGCCCTGTCCAGCGCGTCCCAGATGTTCTTCTACCTTTACGATCGGAAATTCGTGAGTACAAATGCCACGTCTACAGGGCCTTTTGCGTCTGTTGAACCCGTAGTGACGAGACGCCAATTCAGACCTGTGGTGCGGAGTGCTTCTTTGAAACCGTAGTGAGGAGTGGAGAAGCATCCGGATACTGGCTCGGCGAGCAGCCGTTTCTGGCTCACGTGTAGTATGTTGCTCCAACATGTCTGCCATGAGTTCTTTGGACACGCGGACCGAGTCCAAAGTCGGCTCAGCGCGATCAGGGCTGGGGTAAACTAGAGCGGAACGAGATTTAGGCGCCCGGGTGGCTTTTTTGCGAATTAAGACCATAGTTTTGCCGTTTTCTTAAGACCACAGAATCCTGAGATGCAGTCGTTGGCGCATCTTTGCAAAACGACACAAAAACCTTCATTCCTGCTCGGTCCATGACCTGACCGATTTCTCGACCCTCGATGAGATCTTCTGAAACCACAAGCTCAAGCGGAAAGCAACCCGCAGGAAGTCGTTAGTCGAAATTAAAAGGGCGTCAGGTCGCCGCGAATTGCAGAGACACGATCAGTGCCAATTCTATTGTTGTGGTCGCTGCGACAAAATCTGCTGACGTGTTCCGCTGCTGACGTGTTCCGCAGCGACGATGAGCCTGAGACCTGTACTGTGATGCCGCTTTTGACGTCAGGCGTTATGGGTCCTAGTACGCCCTCCTTAAAAGCTTCGAGGAATTCGAAGTGCTGAACACTCTCTGACTCACGTTGCAGGCTGGGCTTGGAGGCCTCTCCTTTGACGAGGGTCAATTTTCGGTGTTTGGGTGAGACGCCCTTATGCATTTGTCGAGCTTGTCGCTTTTCACAAAGCCGCGTCTTGTTTGACGTCGTCGTTTGGGGCGTACGAAGTTATATGAGATGTCAATTTTGCGCACTCGAGCTCGTTAGGAGATACTGATTGGACGCGGCGCTAGTTCGATCTAACACCACATTTTGTAGGACACGGTCAAGAAGATGTGCTGTGTTGACCTAAGGATCTGGTTGGCAACGCATTGATTGATGGCCTTATGGTTTTATCCATTGTTTTCCGTAGGATATCGTAGCCGTGCTCGACTGTGTGCAGGTACATCACTAAAGGGATCGAGTTGTTGTCCCAGTTCAAAACCGGCGACGTAATCCAATCAGCCAGGATTACCGAGGGCGCTGAGCGGCTGAATTTGCCTAGTAGCTAGAACATAGACTCGAGCTGAAACGTCAAGCAGAAGCGTAGAGTGCGGTGTCAAGCAAAGCTGTTGGCTCGTTACCCCAGGGTACTTAGCTCTGACTGCCTGACGAGAACCTTTCTCTACAAATGTGATAGCTTTGGTAGCGCCGGCAAATTGCTTCTGATACGTGGCCTGGCCGCATATGAGATACTCATTTATTGATCGGCCGCTTCGACTCGATTTTTCTAAAGAACCGATCCAACGATCGCACCAGCTAATCTGGTCCTTTTAACCATCGCAGGCGCCCGGTGTGGTCTCACCGGTATTGGATCTTGTTCAACCTCATTCTGACTGACTGCCTGCAATTTGCCGAACGCCGGCATTATCCTAATTTATCCTAGTTGAACCCGATTCCAGTCTGCAGCAACCCGAAGAACACATCATGCCATAGGTTGCAATTGGATGATTGGCAACAATGGAATTCATGCAGTCATACGTACATTGGACGCGACACTCGCATGAATATATGAGAGACGGACGATTGCATGTAGGTACGGTATCCACCCCGTCATGATACATGTGTACATACATACATAAGTCCATACATACAACCATACTTCTTTTTAAAGGCCATAGCGTGAGCCATGAACCTACGATCGATCGAGCGAGGTAGGTAGTTGTGGGCTAGGAGGGGGACCGCCCTTCGGGCGGTCCTCTCCTACCGGTAGTACGTGGTTTATGGCTCCGACTCCCGAGGCTTGGCCCAGAATGACCGGGCGTGCCTTGCGGCCGGCCCCGGAAAACGGGCGACGTACTTTTCGGGGTACCCAGTGCCCACATGCCATGACCGCCGACCGGTCGGCTGGGCCGCGCTGGGGCTAAAGCTGATGACGTAGCAGTTCCGGCCGGTTTATAACATTATTGTGTTCTCCGACCGATCGACCCACCCCGGGGCCCGAAGGGGGTGGACCGTGCCACCAGTTGGCTCAGGCTCGCCAGGTGTCCAGCTACGGTAAGAAGGGCCCCGGGGACGTTCAGACTGTGTCATTCAAATGATTGATGTAGGTAGCATTCCCTCAATCCCCTCCCTTTGTGCAGATGAGAGCTTGCGCAATGCGGCGCTTTCTTAGAGGAACCATGTGGTCATTGTGATTGTCAATCGGGAGCAATTTACCGGTCGCTATTACCTAAATAAAAACCCGAATAGGCCCCTATCCTAGCTAGAGGCTAGATTTCACAGGCTCGGGATTGAACATTTACCGGCCACCCGGGTTCCGGGGAGCCAATTTCCTCAGCACAGTCTGCATGATCCATTTTGCATCATCATCACAATGGCCGACCGATCAAGCATCCTTGGACTGGAAAGGGAGTGCCTCTTGGCCTGATATGTCGACAGAGCCTTCTTTGGTACCACAAACAGAATATTGCAGACATTGAAGCCATGCAATTGTCGCAACTTCGTACGTACCTACCAGCTACCTACCAGGTCCTACGGTACCTACTTGCATACCGTATCAACATAGGTATCAGTTCCCTAAGCTGGCTACGTCACATGCAGTGATGCAGGGGAGAAGCTGCCACAGTCGCTGCTTTCAGTCTGCAGTGTGCACTCAGGCTGGCACTGTGTGCAAGCACCCATGAGGGTTGGCTGTCCATTATAGGTGGCGCAGAGCGGTACATGGGGGAGGGTGCCGTAGCCTGGACAGGCCATCATTAATCTAATAGGTGCGTTGTGACCAGTCTCTTTGTTTCTTCGTTCCTATCTACATCTTGGGGACTTCTTTCTTTCTTCCTTCAGGGATATCATCTTAGCACACGGCGCAGGCATGGACGTGACCATCGCAAGCCCGTCGGTGGTCTCCTTCGTTTTCTATGTCCTCAGTATGAGCATCTCGCTAGCTCTGCTGCGCATCTTCCATTCAGCAGCCAATCTGGGGCAGTGCAGGACTGAATCTTTCCTTGCTCGGGAGGTTGGAGTCTACCCTCTAAGCCGGTACCTGTGGCGAAAGAAACATCTAGCCAACCCTATCGTGATTCTGATTGTACTTTCCTTGGGAGTCACGGCGCTCCCTCCCCTCATGTGGCAGACTGTGCGCGTATCTTCTAGTGTCAGTCGTGAAACGGAGTTTGTGGGCAATCTGGAGGTTGATGGAGCATCAGTGAGACTCCACAAGCGAGCCTTCTCACGTGGCAGCCTCTAGATGACGCCTGTTCGGGACTGACAGGGTGTGATCTGCTGAATGTTTTGTTCTCGGGGCTCGCTATTGGGCCAGCAAGCTTGCTGGCAGATTCCCCTTCAGTGCCCCTTAGGCAGGCCAGTGCAGGTGTCACACCAATCACCTTGAACAGAAGCCATATAGTCCACCTTGAGACGGGTCAAACCCTAGAGCAGATTCTGCGCAAGGGCAAGCTCACGGTTCTGGGGAATATCGACATCTTAGAGGCACTGCCCTACAATCTCGATCCTCTTACTTATTGGCTCCAAAATGTTGCCAACCCGGCGGCCGCACCAAAGGTCCCGCCCCCTTTCCAGTTCAGGCAGCCGGGCGGAGCAAATATTTCGATAGCACAAGCCTTGTTTAACTACTAGATTACACAAGCTGGGATAGGGCCCAAGTCGCTATTGTCTGGGATGTCGTACCAGAAGTTCAAGGTTTATCCGCAGAATGTGACTGGGATAGCGCGGGCCGATGACCTCACGGCTGCCTATCAGTATGTTTTTCAGAAAGGGGTTCTTGGTAAAAGCTACTGGTTCTATGTGAACAACGCACCAGGCGTGTTTGCAATGGTAACCTGCGGGTTTGGACAAAGCAGCACCTCTGGGTTAAGCAGCATCTTTGGTTCAAGCAGCACCTTTGATCCAAGCAGTACCTTTGGTTTAAGCGGCCTGTTAGGCAGTCTGCTGCCCACCGGGCCTGCGACAAAAGATTACCTGGACTGTACTGCACAAGTGGGGTCTATATACCAGCTTCGAGAGAGTGTCCAGATTGAAGCACGTAAGTCGCCCAACATCTCAGAGGTTGTTACGTTTGGAAGGGGTTTGGAATACTGTCCTCTTGCAACTCAGCATATCTGGCCCCAGGTTTCGAGACTAGAGTGCCCGACCTAGGTGTGTATACGCCAGTGACCAACCTAGAGCTTATCTTCGACTCCTCCGCATATTGCGCAAATATAGCAAACAACGTGGCAGCCATTATCAACAACAAGGAAGGCCTCGTCTCCCATTTGAAGACCGCCAACACATACACCGTACAATTGGTTTACACTCTTGTCCCAGCAGTTCTGGTAGTTGCAGTTGCCATCATACTGGCCGTATTTGATTGGGTTTTGGTCAAGGACAGGCTTTTTACAGAGTGCTTGTGGGTGCTGCTGGAAGATACATGTAAGTCCCGATCAAGCGTTCAGCACATTCAATGTGTTTGACGCTGAGCTTAGGGTTACGAACCTGAATGTAATTGGACTTGAGGAACGGCACAAAGTGTGGCTGGCTGGTTGCTATAGCTAGGCTACTAAGTAACAAGTGACAAAGGTTACGCCAATAGACTGAGCAACATCTGCCGTGCATGTAATTAGCTAGGGGCCGCAATGAAGTTGCTTTTAAGCTGCGTCGGTCGAGTTTTAGAGAAGCATTGACTTGGATCGATCAAGAAACTCATGTATCATTTGCTGGAACACGTAATTCGCCTAGCTGTTGCATGAAACCGTATACGCCACCCGCCGGGCTAGAACGCATGCATGACCGTATGCGCACCAACTGCAATGCGCCTTTTGGGGTGTGCCAGGTTGCAGGCTAGGATTTGTAATACATCATGGTGCGCGATTTATTGATCAGTCAGGTTAGTCGATTTAACTTTCTTCGAAATGGTTTCAATATGATATGCCGAGTTTGAATCAAAGAGCAGGTGGCACACCCATAAATGTCTGGGCATCGCATTGTACGCCGAAAGCAAACGATTGGCTTCACTCAAGCGGTGGGTCAAGCCGAACAAGCGCGATCTTGAGCGTAAAAGCAGGACACAGCTGTTTTCCGATTGTGACAGCCACCTCGTGGAGACTTTCGAAGCCCCGGAGCTGCAGTCGGCCCCCCAAATCTCATGAAAATGCCTCTTCGTATATCACTAGCGGAGCTTTAGCGAGGACCGCAAGATGCACTGTACTACCACTCGGCCAGTGCAGCAGATTGCGTCCCATCATGACATGCATCATAGCCGTGCTCGACTTGAACCACCGTCTTTTCGAGGCGCCCGAAATGGAACATGGACGGTACTGCGAAAGCGTCCCGCGGTAGGTGCACATGCACTTGTCTGAATCTCCGAACGCCTAGTGAGGCTTTCCCTTCCAAGCCAACCGAACGGAACCTGTTTACCTAATCTACGGCTTTGCAATTTTCCATTTGCAAGATATGCACCCGTCTCAAGGGTACGATCGTTCGCGATATGGATCTGTCGATCAGCAACGGCCCACTGCCTCAGAGGTCGACTTTCCGTGAGCGCGACTCCGTTGAGCACATCTCAAGGACAAAGTGGGAACAAAGCTTCACGGCAGTTTGCGAAACGGCCAGGATGATACAGTGCTTTACACGGAGCATGAGCCACGGATCTCTAGGCAAGTTTTACTGCTGACTCGCATCATCTCAGCGACGCCCGAGAGCAGTTCGTGCAACAAACGGGCAACAAATTAGCTGGGCGCCCGACTGGGCGTCTCAGCAAGGATGAATTTCAGACTGTTGCCAAACCGGTGCTTCAAATTCCTGTTCACGGGATACTGGCACGCATATCTGCTTGTTCAAAACTTATGTGGAGCCGCTTAGATCTACTGAAAATCTGTTACAGAACGCGGGCTTTCGCTAGCGCTCCGTGGTTATTTTGTTTTTGCAAGATTGTCGAATCACGAACGTTTGCCCGAAATCGAACCAGTATGGGAAGATTCTGTTTTGAACATGCAATGTCCCCAGTACTCCGCCCCTCGAGAGACGTAGCTCTGACAGCTTGCAGACAAACGCAGATGTTGCTCCCAATGACGAGAACAAAGTAGCACGCAGAGTTGGTCAGGACTTAGCAATCTGGTAATGTGGTTCAGCCTTTCAAGCTGTGGACGTAAGACGATCATTTATATGCGGATCCCGCCTCCTGCTGATGATAGTTGGCAAATCCAAAGAGGCGTCAAAATACAAGGCGATGTGTTTGTAATTGTCAGGACGAACTTTAGAACCAGGTGAATACTCTCGCGCGCTCGCGCAGCGACGGCTGCTTGTTGCGCGGCCGCGAACCCCTACAGAAAAGTTGTCCGACTCAATGAGTTTTGTTTGAGAGCCCACAGCTG